TTAAACACTGGCCATGACTTATAGATGAGACTACTGATGAGTTTTATTATGCAGGAATGGTTTATCATTGAAAGTTCTGTTACTTTTACATGGTTTATCTGGCATGCTAAAAGTTTTACCCAAGGGCTATCCATATTTACTTACTGAGTTATCTCATAGTTTTTCCTTGTCCACCATTTCAGGAATCGAAATCGAGGACGGGGAAACCAAGGGGAGTGACGAGTTAGAAGGCTAGCCACCCGTAATTTGATATAGTTCTTAGAAATAAATCGTGATCTTGTATTTGGAGATTTATGATATTAGAGAAGTTTAAAATTTGATCATCAGATTTTGTGGATTGTCAGATGTGAATTAGATAAGTTCCGAGCCTTGTGCATTTGTGGGACTCGTCTCACGAGTGCACGGCGTCTGTCGCGCCTTGGATTTGGGTTCTGGGGCGTGACAGATTTAGTGGTATCAGAGCTTAGGTTTGATTAAGATTTTGTGATGTGAGAGCCTAGGTTTAATTAAATACCTAGGATGTGTTTTGGATTTGGCTAGCCAATGAGTTTTAGAACCGTGGTGAGACGAGTGATGGGGTTATGCAAGGGACGATTCTGATTTGTGTTGCTTGAATTTTCTGATCCGCTTTGATGAGATAGTGATTCAGTTAGTTCCTGTTATCTGCCCTTAGTGAGAAGTTTTGAAATAAATCTTGCTCACTATGCTCTTAGGACCTTGTTTGAAACTTGGTCCCTTGTGATGGTATGTTTGGTTTTGGGTGTGGAAGGATGTATAAGGCCTTCCACATTAGGTCTATTTGTTTAAGTATTTATTTGGGCATTCATACATGAATGCAAACATAAACGTACATGAGCATATACACGCATACATGCATGCATACATGAGCATTCATGCATGCACACATCGGCATTCATACATGCATGCATAAAGGCATTCATTCATACATGCATATACATGCATTCATGTCTTCATGATTCTATATATCCGAGTGATGCTTATCCGTCTCGGATAGGGTTCCATCTTTTAGTTGGACTCATCATTAGACTCCCTGTCATGATGTGTTTGATGAGTGCCGGGTCTTGATTTGAGTCAAGGGCACCACATAATCACGCTAATGACCCTCGAGTTTAGTTACTTGTGTTGAGGCGTGAAGTTATCTCCCCCTCTGAAATGGCCATTGGGGAGGGTGGAGATTGAGATTGTTATTGGCTTGTTAGGGTAGTGATGAGTACCTAGTCCCCGTAAAGTGAATCTGACTGTTGTATCTTTGTGATTGTTAGCCATGCATCTTGTGATTGAATTCCTTGTGATAATTGTGGTTTGATATTAGAGTGGCGCCGCGAAAGCGTAGTAGATCATGTTCCGATCATAGAAAGTCGGTGGGGCATTGTTTTGTCTTAGATTGTGTGAAGCCATTCACCAATCGAAGTGATCCTAGATTTGAGTTTTGGGGACAAAACTCCTTTTTAGGAGGGGTGGATGTAATATCCCAAAATTTTGGGGTATTTTAGCATTAAATTGGGGACTTATTTGAGGGAAAATATTGTTTTGGGGCTTAATCGTAAAATTTTTAG